TTTGATCTTCCTGGATCTGAAATTAACAAGTTTGGGGGGGCGGGAGAGACCCATTATTTAAAGTGAGTTGTATTCCTAAAATAAGAATGTTATTTATTCATGCCTCGCCTTCTGCCCAGAACAGTTGTAATTTCAAAATGATTCTAAAAGGGGGCTATAAGTGAGCTCACCTCCCAAGCAAGGCTGAAGCGCCAGCCGTGAGGAGGGAATTATTCTGGAGAAGTCAGCAGCCGGGTTGGATCCGCACTCCGCACCCAAGAGATCCAAAGGGGCTGCCCTGAGGATCGGGGGCAGCTCCCTTCAGAGAGAGTGGCTTTCCAGGAGCAGAAGGCAAAGAGGCAGCAGCAGCAGCCTTGAAAGGGAGACGGCCTTCTGCCCTGGCATCAAAGGGACTTAAAAGGTTGTTAATGCCGTAGACCTAATTTGGTTTCACAAGCTGCCATTTCATTACAAAGTATGAGGTGATAAGAATTCGGCTGACGGACCAAAGAACAGAACTGTATGTTGCTCTTGAAATGATAATGTATCTGTTATTTATTTTTTATAGACAATCCAATGCTATTTATTAAATTTTATACCATGCCAACAGAATTAGCACCTGCCTTGTTTTTTTATAATGTACTAAACACCCGGGAGGGAAAGAGGGAGGAAAATAGGGAGATGGACGGACGGACGGGTGGACGGGTGGACGGGCCCTCAGCTCTTGTCTTGGGGACACGGTGGGGAGCCAGGAGGCGTCTCAGGAGAAGCCCCCCAACAAAGCAGCCGGATCAACTGGATCCACCAAGCAGGACCGCTTGGCCCCCTCCAGGCAGGAGGACACAACCTGGTTTTCTTCACGTGCCTCAGCCAAGCTGCGTTTGCAAACTATGCCAAAGCAGAGAGCGACGTTTTGTTCCCACGACCTGCCAAGCCAAACCCAAACCCTCTTTGGTTCTGGTTCTGGTGCGTAGACCAGATGTGGAACTGACCCGGTTAAGCTGGGCCCTGCAAGCCCCCCCCCCCCACAGCCTAGGATCATCTTCTCCTGAACAGCCTCCCTTGTGCCGCTCTCCTTGACCGGGTTAGTACTACAGCTCCCATCAGCCCCACTAAGTGACGGCTCGCTTTCAATCCCCCCCCCCGTGGCATCTGTGGGTGGGTCTCTGCTCTCCCTCTCTAGGAATCTCTTTCCGCCAACAAGCCATGAGATTCTGGATCTGGCACCGTCACCCAACCGTTTCGTTCCTGTCCAACAGCTGCAAATTCTGCCGGCACGGAAAGGCTGCGGAGAATTGTTTTAACTTAATGCCAGCATTAATCACCCAGGAGCTCAGGATGTGTTGATGGGATTAGTAATTTCTCCCCCCCTCACAGACACACATATGTACTTCAATTAAACACCTTCACTTTTTTGGGTTTAAATAAATTAAGTCTTCCCATCTGCTGTCAAAATACTCAGGGTTAGGCGAATGGGGGGAGTGGAAGCGGGGGGGGGGGCCTTCTGAGCCCCACTTGGGAGTCAGGGACACCGCTCCTTGCCGCAGGGGAGGCAGCGAAGGAAACAGCCTCAGATCCTCCCAGAGAGAAACACAAAATGCAGGCGGTCCTCAACTCACGAGACCACAATGGAGCCCCCAACCCATCTTGCTCAGTGAGAAATCAAGTGCCTCACTCACTTGTCTTACTTTACGACTTTTCTCACCACGGTTGTTGAGTGAATCCGTGGTCCCTACTGAGTTTGCCAGGAGGTCACAGAAGCAGATCACCCCGAGGGACACTGCAACCGTCGTAACTATGAACCAGTGGCCAAGACGAGTGGTTGCAGGTCAAGGCCCACCTGTACTCCATAGACGGAGGGGGTGGTTCTTTCCCGCCATTCCCTGGTCTGTTCTAGCACCTTCTTTTGGGAACCTCGCTTCCCATGTGGGAGACGGTCTTTGAAAAACAGCCCTTCCTTTTTTTCCCACGTCAGGCAAAAATCCCTGCACTGCAATCTAGTTCTGGCCAGGGATAGCAGGACTCACCCCACGGGAAGAAGAGACGCCTTAGACTCAGGTTAAAGTAGAAAAATAGACCAGCCCAACGGGCCTCAACCAGAAGATGGGTGGAGCTCAGCTCCCAGAATCCCCCAGCCTGCATGCCAATTAGCCTGAAGAGGGGCTGAGCTGAAGCCCACCCACCTTAACGGTTGCCAAGACTGAGAAAGCCCCCAGAGGGCATCGCCTGCTCTTTCCCCGAGGCTCTACATTTTGGTTTCAACCCACAAAAGTCAGCCTTTCTCTCTTGCTTGCTGCTCCCAAACCCTTCCGACTTTAAAGCCCGGTGAGACATGCTTGTACCCAACAGCATCCAAGCGGTTCACAGGCTGCCCATCCAACATCCCTTCCCTTCCCGCTGCTTTGCTCGCTTCGGTGCTCTTCATGACGGCTCAAAGCTAGAACAAGTAGTAAAACATCCAGCCACGACTGAAGCAGAACAAAGCAGCGGAAAAGGCTGCGCACAATGCTGTTTGTAGCGAGAGAGCCCACGGGAGAGGGAGGACCATCCTGCAAATCACCCAGGTTATCCCAAACAAAACACTGAAAAAAAGAAGCCATTCAAGCTTTTCCCAGCACTCCTGCAGGTCGCTTCCATTCATTGCAGTCCCACAAAGCTGTTTCGTGGCAATAAAGGTAATTTGTGACTCTGCCTTACCCAGCAGGAGCTTTCAAGGGAGTAAACAAAGCTTGTCAGACACAAACAAAAAAATCTATTAGCTTCCCCCTCCTTGCAAAGCAGGCCCACCGTTTAGAAGCTTCTCTTGCCTCCTTGCAACCCAAGGGAGGCAGGGATGAAACCGCCTCTGTGACGCCAACCATGACCACAGGGCCCATCTTCCTCAGCCAATGCCCCTCTCCACTACGGTGCCCACAATTGGGCCACAAATATTCGGGATAAAATAAAAACATTTCTACCAATAGATGAAAATATTTGCAGCTCATTGGTGAACTGTGGGGTCCTGGGTCCGCTCTGAGTTCGACTGCTTTCTTGCAGACGTTTCCCCGAATCAAGTAGTCAGCATCACCACTGCTGGGGGGGGGGGGGGGGGGGGGGGGGGGGGGGGGGGGGGGGGGGTCCTTGGTGATCTCCTGTGGTGGTTCTCTTGCAGACGTTTCATCACCAAAGCAGGTAACACCAATGCTAGAGGGGAGGGGTTAACCTACCACCAACTCCAGAGAGCACCGAGGACTCTACAGTCCTCCCCCACCTCAACCCCCTTCCCCTCTAGCACTGATGAAGCGCAGAGGGGACCCAGGACCCCCACAGCTCCTGCGGTTCCCCGCTCTTCAAGGACACCGGGGCGGCTAAAATCAGCATTTCCCACGCGAAAGGACGAAACCCGGGTTCGGCATTCCAGCGCAGGGATTCACAAGTCCCGCTTGTTTCAAGTAGGCGCCGCGTTTCCAAACTCTCGTGAGAGCGGGCGGTACACGGATACGAGGACCCGCAAAGACCAGAGAGATAGCAGAGGAGCACAATGCTACCCGCAGGCCTCAAGCGCCACTTTTTCCTACTTTTAGCAACCGAGAAAGTTCAGTCTCCGTAGAGACCGTCAAAAATTGCCATTGCCGACTATATTTCAAGTCGTCAAGGCGGGGTATTGGGAAAAGTTTTCAATTAGCAATAATCGCGCCTCGGATAAACCTCATTGGCTACGATACTGCCACTGCGCAAAGCTAAAGAGTGATTCTGCCGGCAACAGCCGCCCTCCTGCTGGAAGCTTTCTCAGGTGAGAGTGAGCCTGCCCAGGCAACCGCTTGAGGAACCAAGAGAAGCATCTCGACGGCGTTTTAGATGCGCGTCTTCTTCCGAGACGATTTTGGGAGGAATTGCCCGCTTGTCTCCTATATTTTATCCCGAATCTGTGGCCGCAAAGGATTCTGGTCCCCGCATACATATTAGGAAAGGTGCGGCGGGAGGCTGGGACGAAAACATGACGCAAAAAAAAGAAGGCGGAGCAAACGCCGTTGAAAGTTCGGCGGAAAGCGACCGTAAGCCAATCGCGATGAAGAGAGGCGGGGCGAAGTGGGAGCCCGGCCCCGCCTCCCAGTCCCTGACCGTGCCGAGGATTCGGTTAATTGGGGGGGGGCGGGTTTGGCTGGGTTGATTTCTGCTTTTTTTCTGTCTTTTTTTTTGCTCTCAGTGGCGAAGAAGCGTCGCTTTCCTCCCCCAGCCACGCGTGGCTCCCGACCTTCAGGACTTTGCACCACGAAGGTGGCTCCCACCCGGGTGGCTTCCCTTCTGGCGCGCTGCTTCGGACTACACCGCCCATCATCCCTGGCCATAGCCCTGCCCCAACCCCCCCAGCAGATCCGGCTCCCTTCACCGCTCCCCACTCGTGGAGACCCAGCCCGGCCCCTCGCGGGATGTACCCCAAGTCAGATTGCGAGCCAAGCCCCTCGCCAGAAAGACGCGTGGGGAAGGAAGGGGGCTTGAGGCGAACGCAAAGCGAGGAGCCTGCCTTCCCAAAGTGACCCTTCCCACGGGCGCCTGTGGGGAGATTCGGAGCAAAGGGACCGGCCCCCGGGTGGGGTGCTGAGCCTGCAGACTTAGCCATGCAAGCCCACCCCCCACCCCCGCCCCACTTCTCTGGAACCCACAGTAGGTGGAGGGGAGCTTGCCGAGTTGCAGAAGCAGCCCCAGAGAATCGGGGTGGCAAATAGAAGCACCCGGCCCTGAGTTTCAAGATGGGATGGGATGGGGGGGTGAAGGTGGTGGGGGCCCCCTGCCTGCCGTGGGAAAGCCACGGCTGGGCCCTGGGAGAGTCAGCAGGTGAGAGGAACATTCCCAGGTGGGAAGATAAGGTTGGCCCCTGGAAGAGATCCCAGCTCTTCCCTCATGCCAGCTTGGCAGCCAGAGGGCAGCAGTGGCCATTCATGCAATCCGGATGACAAAGGGAGGAAGGGTCCAGCTGGGACATGTGGGCCTCCCACCAGGGTACCTGCACCCGTAGGTCTCAGTTTGGCCTCTCAGAAGGGCCCGTGGGAGGCTGCAAGGCAAACGTGCCAAGTTGGCATGAGGTAGGCCTTGGCACCTGGCATATCTCCCTGAGCCACCAAGGCTGCCTTTGAAGCTGGGCACCCGGCTGGCCTCTTCCCTGCTGCGACCTTGGAGCTGGGCCCATGTTCCGTGGGCTGACCTTGGGGCTGCAGTGCCCAGAGGGGCACAGCACTATAAAGCCGCCCTCTGGCTGAAGGACTGGACACTCTGGCCAAGATGAAGGCTTTGCTCAGCACCCTCCTCCTCCTCCCGCTGCTCTTTGCCACTGGCCAGGCCCAGTGCCCGGCCCCCACTGAGCTCCAGAACCCGCACCCCAACGGCACCAAGGTGTGTGCCCAGATGTACACGGACAACAGCCCCTACTACGACCTCTGCTGCGCCGGGAGCCTCCTGATGGTCCTGGAGGGCGAAGACCAGCCCTACATGCCCACGGCGTTCAACAACAAGGTCTCCTCGCTGGTGGTGGCCCAGCGCTGTGAGCTGACCGTCTGGTACCGGAAGGGCAAGGCGGGCAGCACGCGGGTGTTCAAGGCCGGGGCCTACCCACGCCTGCAGGAGTTCAAGAGGGCCATCTTCAGCAACTGGGACAACGCCATCTCCGCTTACTACTGCAAGTGCAGATGAGTCGCCTCGGCGCGAGCCAAGAAGGGAGCTGCCCCTATCCTGCCTGTCCTCGCTCAGGTGACCCCCCCCGGATTCCCCCCCCCCAACTGAAGGTCCAAAGTATGTGGATGCCACGTCCCCAAATTTCCTGCCCGCAGCAGCTCCGCTGAAGACCTTGGCAGCCCAATGAGAGGCAGGAGAAGAACGGGCACTTCCTTCTGGGAATTGGGAAGAAAACCAGGGCCGGCAAGGGCCGTTTTTCTCCTGTGGCGAAGGGGGCCTTTCATCGGCCCCGGGGCTTCTCGGCCTCCCCTTTGAGCACCGCCAGGACTGCCACCTTGCGCGAAAGATTTGTTCCAGCGGATGCCTTCCGGTCTTCGTTCCCCTCCCTCTTCCCAAGACCCTCTTGGAGCCGCAGCCGCAGCCGCAGCAGATGGTCCTCCCGCCCGGGCTCAGCCTTTATGGTGGCGCCTCCAAAACCTCATTAAAAGCAAAGCAAGGAGACTCTTAAAAACGTGTCGGCTGTTTTTTGCAGTTCAAGGTCAGCAGATGTTGAGGGGGTTTCCGTCTCCTTCCTGGGAGCCCCCCGTTTGCTGGACAGGGCTTTGGGCTGCCATGGGTAAGATTGCAGGTGTGCCCACCAAGGAACGGGGTTCAGTGGCCCCTTTCTCCAAACGTTTGGGGGGGGCAGAGAAAAAGCTGTAGAAACCGGAGGGTGGGTAGGATTCCTCCGCTTCTCTTTGCTCTGTAATCACAGCCAGAGGGACCAAATATATCCCTTGCTCTGGCATGCAGCTGCCGTGGTCATGAGCACTAGAACACCCCCCACCCCCCTTTGCATAGTAAAAAGCCATAAATTTGGGGGGAGGGTCCAGACTGCAATTCTCAACCCATTTGCTCGAAACCAGGTGTATGGGAAGAGCTGTGTGTGGAGAGGGAGGGTCTCGGGGGTCTTGTGAACTGGGTCTGCCTGAATGGGGCCCATGGAACCCAGCCCTCGTTCTGCCTGGATCTTCGGACAGGATATGGGGCCTTTTAAATGGGATCACAATGCAAACCAAATTCTTTTGCCTCCACTTTTAAGCAGCATGAAGATTGATCTTTGGGGGGGGGGGTAAGGTGATCCACCTCTTAGGTTTCCCTCCAAAGACCCCTCCCCCAGTCTAGCAACCACCCACCTAGAGCTGTGCTATCAGCCTTGCGAGGTAGGCCAGACAAAAGGCCCCCCCTGTTGGACTAACCCGACTGAGGTGTTCTCTGGGTTCCGTTCTTTACTGTTTCTTTATCCTACAAGGTAACATGATCAACACATTGGTGATATTATATGCCGGCAATTGAAGCTCCAGCAGCTTTCCAAGCGGCCTGGCTCGGCTGCCAGGCTGGAAAATCAGAGGAGGGGTCTCCAACCGTGGCAACTTTAAGCCTGGAGGACTGGCTGAGGAATCCTGGGAGCTGAAGTCCTCCGGGCTTAAAGCTGCCACGGTTGGAGAACCCCGTATCAGAGGGTCTCTCCCAATGACCCCCTGGCTAGACTGGCCGGCTGCACACAATAGCAGGAAGGGTGGGAGCCCCTCTGCATTCAACTGGCGTTCCTTTTGCGCAGAAAACCGCCAGGGGCCTTCGCTCTCAAAGAAAAGGGGGATTAGAGCAGCGCCATTTTCTCCTCGTCCCAGAGGAAATCGGGAGAAAGCGCCACGCTAATTAGTAGTGACAGGAGGCCTAAGAGACGTAGAATGACTTTTGCAAACACGTAAGGATTATGATTGCCAATTAATTAGGAAAATTACCGTGTTCCTCCTCCACCTCAAAGCCGGCAGGCCCAACGAGAGGCAACGTCAAAGCGCTTGGGGAAAATGAATTCAGCCCCGGCAGGAACTTGCGGGAAGCCAGGATAAAGTCCCTGCCCTGGACGGTGGCTCTGATCCGTGGCTGGCCCAGAGACGCTGAATAAACGGGGCTTTGTGCAGGAAACCCACACGGAGGGTCTGTTGAACACAAAAAGGGCCGGACCAGATCCAGGAAGAATGCAGACTGCCCCAAAGGTTCAGGGAAGGCAAGGTCACACGGGCGGGAATAGGTTCCCCAAATCAATGCATTTATTACAATTCCATTTTGGCTGAAGAACTTGACCAGGGCTCCTCAGACTTGGCCACTTTATAAAGACTTGTGAACTTCAACTCTTAGAATTCTCCAGCCAGTCCACAAATCTTAAAAGTTGCCATCCCAGGATATCCCATCCCTTGGGCCTCAAAGGGCAGAGGTGGGTCAGCAGGGGCCGTTTCCTGAGGGCCCGAGCCTGAGCAACAGCTTCAGGATGGTTGGGGGGCAATTTATCCTTCAATTCATCTGTGGGGAGGCATTTGGAGCTGCAGGACATCCAGCAGGTGCCAGGTGAGGCGATGCAGCTCCCTTTCGTCGTCGGATTATTCCCTCCAGACTTTATACCTGAAACGTCTTTGGTTAAAAGCCCAGGTGTATTATTCCTCAGGCTTTTTTAGTACCTGTCTGCTCAAGGGGCACCCCCTCCCCCCCACTACAACAGCCCAGCCAGGTAGACTGGCAGCTGGGCGCCATGCAACCCCCTTCCCCAGCAGTCCTGCTTTGTCCGGTGTATGGAGGGGGCTGCTCAGTCAGCTCCAGTGTTGCTTGGCCGGCCTCGCCCTCCTGGCCGGGGCTGGAGTGGGATGAGCTGCCAGCATCCACCTTGCCCCGTTGCCGGGCTCCTTTCGGGGCTTCTGCTCAAGGCAGATTTCCAAGGGGTTCATCCCCCTGGGGTTGGCGGGATGACACGGTGGACAATGAAACCTCCCAGGTGGGCAGAATTCTCTCCCTGCAGCTGGACCCTGGCACGGCAGGGACAGAGGCTCTGGTGGAGCCTGAGATGGCGGAGAACGTCCCAGGGATCCTTAGGCAGGTTCAGCAAGTGGAAACCGGGCCCAGGTCAGGGTTGCCACTTTGAGCCCACATGGGCACAAGGGGAGAATTGGGGAGGCAGGCTGCAAACAGAGCAGCCCCCAGCCCTGGTGCTCCTCGGCGGCCCCCATGCCCAGCAAGGCCCCAGCCCTGGGCTCCTGGGGAAGGTGGACCGGAAGAGGGCTGGCTCAGGCCAGGGAGGCAGGCAGGCAGGGAGGGAGGGCTGCTCAGGAGGCCCCCCCAGGCCGGCCTTTCCCACTTACTCTGCTTCTTGGGCAGAAGCCGACATTTAAACGGCGAAAGGGATTTCCCTCTTCCATGCAGAGAGACCCTGAGGCTCTGCCGCTGCTTCTGTAGCTTCTTCTTAAACACGTCAGCAAGTTTGGTTTTCTTCTTAAACGAGGGAATTGAACGTAAACGAAACAGCGTGCTCTTCTTCTGGAACTATCGAAGGTTACGGTTGACCGGGGGTCCCCAAGACCCGTGGACTTCAACTCCCAGAAGTCTCCAGCCGGCTCTGGAGACCTCTGCCGTGTTTTATGGGGGGGAGAGGCTCACAACCACCACACCTTGACACAAAATCCAGACTTTTTATACAAGACCATTCATGGTTAAACTTACTAGAATGAAACACAGATATTTTTTTTTTCTCAAAGCAATTAAAAAAAGATCATTTCAACACTAATACCACTGAGTTACTAAAGGGAGAAAAGAAGAAAATAAAACCAATATAAATAATGTCTTTTAAAAAAGTAACAAAACCCCACAAAATGAATCAGTAGTCATTCCTGTAGAGGGAAGAACATTTCCGGTGGGGGCCTCCAGTTATAAAATTCTTCAAGCAACCAGGTGAGGGCGGGGAGGGGGCGTTCGAAGCCGGGTCTCCCCCCTCCCGGCCTCCAGTTTTAAGATTCCAGTCCTTTTATTTCAGAAAAACGGGGGGGGGGGGGGGGAGTGGTAGTGTTGGGGGGAGGGGGGGGGTGGCAGGGGGGGGGGGGGTATCCCCCCACCCCCCCCCCCCCCCTCCCTGGCTTGGCAGCTTCAACTGAGATGTTAAGCCTCTTCCTCCTCCCCCAGCAGGGAAGGTGAAGCCATCCTGGCATCCTTGAGAATCTGCGGATCAGAAAAGGCAGCAACCGTCGTGGGAAAGGGAGCCACTGGCCTGGGAGAGGCAGGCGGCCCCCCCGGACCCCTGGCAGGGGGAGGAAACCGGGAGAGGAAAGGGGAGGGGAGGCTGGATGAGGCTGAGACCCACCCCCCAAGAATGAAACCTGCCCCCTGGGGATGGGGATGGGGGGGGGTTGAGATAATGCATCTGGGTTGCCTTTAAGTCAGGAACGCTAGCACCAAAGGCCCATTGCACACCCACTCCCGGGTGGGTGGGTGGGCCTGATCAGAGCTCCCCTGCCAGAAGAGCAGGGCTGGGGGCGGGCCAGAGGATGGAGGGGGGAGAGGAAGAGACCCCGGAGGAGGTCAGCCAAGGCCGCTGGCAAGGCAGGAGGCAGGCAGGGAGGGGCTGGCTGGGCAGCCCACCCAGAGGGCCCAGAGGAGCCTTTCGACCCCTGCCAGCTGGCTCCAGAGGTGCACTGGGGGCAGAAGAAGTGGAACACACACACACACACACACACACCCCACACACCCGCTGGCAACTGGCAATCTCTTGGGGGGGGAGGAAGCATGCAGCGAGCGAGCTGAACCCACTTTGCAGAAAGGCAGCAAGACGGGGGAGGTGTGTGTGTGCTGGGCAGGGGGCTTCTGAAGGCCTGCAGGGCAAAGGCTGCGCTTGCAGGATCCGGCCCTGGGCCTCCTCTGAGCAGAGAGGCCCAGGCTGCTCCCAGCATGCAAGGAACAGCAGTGGTGGGAGGGGCAGTGGCGCCCCCCTCCTCCCCCAAACACGGCCAGGCGGCCCCCCCTCACCCCCAGGCTCCCAGCAAGTAACGCTTCCGGTGCCTGGAGGCCCTAAAGAGCCCCCCCCCCGCTGCCTTTCTGGGCCCACGAGGAGAGCCCCCCTCCCCTCAGCCAGGCCCAGAGCAGCCCTCCCTTCCCCGCTGCCAGGCCCCCAGGGGGCAAGGCCACGAAGGGACAGCCCCCTCCTGCTCCCTTTTCCCATCCGCTGGGCTTCTCCTCTCCCAGCAGGCAGCCCCCCCCGCTCACCCCCCCCAAGCCCCCTGCCCCCCCAGCGCCCTTCTGCCCACAGGGGGCCAGCCTCACCCCTTCAGCCCCAGTTGGAAGGAACTCCCCTGCCAGCCACAGCCACTTCGCAAGGGGGCGAGAGGAGAGAAAAGAGCTGGGCTGGGCAAGGAAGAGGCCGCCCAGGGAGGAGGGGGCCCCTCGGGGGTCTCGCAAGGGAGGCCGCAAGAGAGCCGTGGGCAGGGAGGGCCTTTGCTGGGGGCTCTTTTCCTGCCCCTCCCTGAAAAGCTTGCCTGAGCCCAAGAAAAGCCGGGAGTGCCACTCTGACCCGCTCAGTGCCCGTGACCAGAGGACCCCACGCTGTGATGGGCAGAGCTCCGAACGAGCTGGAGCTCCAGAGATCTCGAGGCCCCCTGAAATATCGCAGCGCCTTCCTTCCTGGCGGGGGAGGAACAGCTTCCTGGGCACAAGGGGGTCTCCTCTCGGAAGGGGGAAGAGGGGCTTAGGGGAGAGCCTCCTCCCCCTCCCCCCCCGGGGGCCCACTTTCTCTGGGCTCCGCTGCGGGAAGAAGAGGTTCCTGCAATGCCCCCCCGCCAGACCCCGGCTGCCCCCAGAATTTAGGAGACTGACAAGGGAAACGATGCCGCCTCTTTTTACCCCACCCCACAGCCAAACAAGGCCCCCCCTCAATTCAGTAGTACAATATGGTGAGGCAGAGCAGCTCTGCCGGAGACGGGTCCCAGAGTCCACTTGGGGGCCCACGTCACCAGATGACCGGGAGGAGTCCTGGAGGAAGGCTCCGGACTGCTGGCTGAACTCCCCCCAGGAAGTCAGGGCGTGGTGGGGGGGTCTCAAAGCCCCCCCCCTTTGCACGCAGGTCTCCTCTGCTTTGTGGGGGGGGGTGGCTCTTCCCCCCCCGCCCCCCCGCTTTCGCTCTTCACGAAGGAGTCCGGCTCCGGCTCGCTCATCTCATCCGGTTCTGCCGCATCAGGGGCACGATGCAGGAGGGGGCCCCGGCTTTGCCCACGAAGGGGTGCTTCAGGAGCTCGCTGGCCGTGGCTCTTTGGGCCGGGTCTCTGACCAGCAGCCGGTCCAGGAAGCCCTTCAAGGAAGGAGAAACCTGCCGGGGGAGGAGGAGCGCCATGAGCCGGGGCTGGAAGGGGGAGGGAGGGAGCAGCCCAAGAAGCCAGGAATTGGGTGGTCCCGGGCCTGGCCCCGAGCCCCCAGGTCGTAAAGTCGCCACAGACGCCCAGCCCTGAACCGCAATGGGGGCCCGGCCTCGGTGAGCAGGAGGCGGCCATAGCCGAGAGGGGGAGAGGCCATCGGGGTGCTGGTGCCATCAGGGACGGAGGGCAATTCGGTTACCCCCACTGGGCTGAAGAAGAGCTGGCAGCAGAAGCCGCCCTGGATAATGCGTGATGCGCCCGAGCCAAAAATGGCAGGACAGGGCAATGGGGGGGGGGGGGGGGGGG